CTGTGTATACATACACACATTTACACAAACATGCACACACAGAATTATGTTAATTGGAATGAAACTGCATATTATCTTAGGCAGACAAACAAAATACCATTTCTTACACCTGCAGCTAAATTCAGTCAGTATTCAGTTGATTCGGATTCCTTTTGATCAAACACTTGCAATCACTTTTCATCATTAGCCAAAGTTACTACTGTATGATTGAGTGACTTGGGAAGCTGTTCAATTCAAGTCACAAAAGCTGGAAACATTTGGCTCTGAAGTGACAGGAACAAGAGGAAAACACAATATGCATCACCAGGTGTCTGCCAATTACATCAAGATCCACAAATATGTATCACTGCCATGAGTCCTGGTGTTAATGACTAACACTACCAACAAATATTAAGAGAGGGTTTTCAATAGCCTTAAATCTTAATAGATGAATACAACCAAGACACAGCACTGTAGAAGAAAAGCTAATTTGGATCACTGTCAATGAAATGTATACATAAAAGTATAGGCTACTATTAATGAGAAATACTGCTATTTGACTATGTCTTATTAATATGAAAATTTAAACAATGCATAGTGATAACCCAGAAAGACATCACTCACAGGGAAGGTTACACTGATTAAACACAGCAAAAAACTTGATTGCAGTGCAAACTATATACATACATATCAGTCAGGACAGACAGCAAGATGATTTACTAGAGCATCAGTCACTAGGCAATCAATATTGCCTAGTGACTACTCAAAATTGCAAGAGGACTAAACCTTCGATTCAAAAACAAATGTGTAGGAGCTAAGTTACAAGGTATTCATGGAATGGCAACGTTATGTAACTAATGCTGAATCCTGTCAAAGTTGTAAGCAGGGAGGCTGGATAGAGAAAAGCGGGATTGGGTTCTATGAAGGTGTTCATTTTTTACCTTATTTCTGATCATGGGTCCATATTAAAAAAGTTTTCAGTCATCAATACCATACACATAAGTTCAACCTTCTCTTTATGCTTCATTCATTCACAACTCTCTCTCTCCTGCTCTCTCATACAGTCTCTCTCCATCTGCTCCTCTCTTCCTGACCTCCAGCTGACTATGGGTATTCACTCTTTAGTTTACCAGTCATATTTTGCCATGATCATCACAGCCAATCATGCAGTTACTGTCAAATCTGTATGAAATTAATGCTGCCCTCCTCCACCACATTCAGAATCAAAATCAGAATCAGGTTTGTTGCCAAGTACATTTTCACATACAAGAAAGTTGCCTAGGTATATTGTTGCATAACAAACATATAGAAAATAAATAAAAAGCTACAAAAACAAGTACTGCAAAGTCAAGAAACATAAATAAATATAAAAAAGAAAATAAATCTTTTTTCAAATGAGCTGTACAATTTCTGCAGGAATGTACACAGTATACAAAATACTGGACAAGCAATGTGGAGAAATTCACAGTTTGAAGTATAAGAATTTGAAGGTGTCTAGTGCATCTAGCATATCTAGTGCAGCAGATACAGGTAATGGTGTGGCCGTTTTTGCTAAATCTAAGCCATGTAAATTCCCTCAGCCAGGGGTAGATTGGCCCAATAATTCAGGCCAGGAATTTGACACCTTTCCAGCCCACCCTGTTTACGAAAACTACCAGACCGCTAATGCTCTAGGCTAACCCTATTTGTTGCTGTAAGGGGTACCAAACTGGGTATAGGTTTGGCCACTATTCATCTGGGAAGAAAGTTATCCACATTACAAAATACAAACATTTGGGACTGACCATCAAAGTAACCTATCTGAACAGAGTTTTCAAGGTATGCTATGGGTATGGGTAACATTAGGCCTATAATGCAAGTCCAAGAAGTATTCCTATAGCCTACAAAAAATAGCTTGTTTACTATGTTCACTCAGAAAGCAAACTGCACAAAAATAAACACATCCATCTTTCAATAATTTCTACTAGATATATTTCAAGTTTTTTAGCCTATGAAGAAAAGTACCGGCAGAGATTAAGCAGTGTACAGGAGCTGTTGCCATAGTTACTACCCATAGGGCGGTGTTAACTCGCTGAGTGCCTGTCTGCTCACATGAGAAGCGCAGTAAGACCCAGCGGATCCAAATGAGTACACAGGCAGAGAGCGGCTCCCTGAAAAGGGCTTGAGACACTAAATGCTAAAACAGTTCTTAACAACAACTTATTAACGGTCGCTAACGTATAATTGGCAGAGAAACAGAGGGAGAGCCGAGGACACGGTGGATGCGTGGATTCTCCTTCTTGCTATGTTGTTAAACAAAGCTTGCTATATTAACGCTGCCGCTGGTTAGGTTGACAATTAACAGCAGACCAAAATGGCCCTCAAGCTACTGGGAAATCTTCCATTGCAGACTTGCTCCCTCCTTGTTTTTCAACCAACAGGGCTCCAGAAAAACTAGGAGCACTGTAGCACCTAACTGAAAATTTTAGGGGCACAGGCAGAAAATTTAGGACCGCAGACCTTGAATTGACCTGCAAAGCATTTTATCACAATTTCCCCATTTTTACTGATAAATTCTTTGGTAATTAATACAGAAACTATGACGTGTCTTCTTTTCTGTCTTGGTATATTAAGGGGCTGTTGTGCTTCATTAAGGTGTTGTGTTAAACTGTGCGGTGCCAGTTGCCTCAGAAACCTTGGTTATCCCTGCATGTTGTGGACCACATCTAGTGCAGTCTGTGTTGGTGGCTTTGCTAAATCTAAGGCGTGTAAACTCCCTCAGCCAGTGGCGGACTGGCACAATTATACAGGGCAGGGATTTGACTCCATCCCAGGGCATTAGATGTTGCCACTAAGTTCAACTGGGAAGAAAGTTATCCACATTACAAAATAAAAACATTCAGGACTGACCATTAAAGTAGCCTATCTAAATGATAATGGGTGCATTCTCAAAAACTCCCGACAAACAGGCTACACCAATCAATCAAGACTAGAAACAAAAAACAATTAGCCTACACTTTTAAAAAAGAGATTGAGATATACAGAGTTTGCTCAGCAGTTCAAATGATGATGATCTTTATATTCAAGCATCAGTCATATCAAAAGTATCTAAAAGCGTCACACACACACCTTGGGCTGACAGACATCGTGATGTTGAGCAGGCATCGTGATTGTAAAACCCCGTCCCCCAGCAAAAAATAATAATTACATTTTTTTATTTCTTCTGACCGCCATCTAAAAGCAGGTTTTAATCACCACCAACATTATTATTATAAATTTTAAATATGTTTCGTACCTTCCGCGGAATTCTCTTCTCCCCACAGGGAGAACCTCAGGTAAACACCCCGGCTTGCCCCCGCCTCTCTCTGTGTCCCCCCCGCCCATTTGCAGAAGCTACCTAGCCGATCAATCACAGTTCTTGTGGTCTATGTTGCCGTGATGTGTAGTTACATTTTTTGGGACTTGGGTCAGTTGGAGGGGATTTTCTATGAGTATCTGAGAGCAGCACACGCTTTTGAGTCGTTTGAATTAGAATTTTTCTTTGTCAAGCACTTTCAACATCATTACTTTTTAAGTTTTGTTTTACAATAATGAGGTTCTGGCTTCAACAAACTATCAGAATTTAAACCACATCGGCAGATGCAGGACGCAAACTCGTTGTAGACTTTGTGGCTGTATGGGCAGATTCAGATATTCTGTAAAATTTAAAAATGATGTCCGTTCAGGCTTTGTAAACAAGGAGGTGTCAAGTACAACATTACAAAGTCTGTAGCCTGCTTGACACACCTCTGAAATAGCTGTCAGAAACCGTGATTCCCCTAAATGTCGTCTGCCTAGACATACTGGGGAAATGTAAAAGCGTCCGTAGGTTGATGGATGCGGATCAAACACCGGAACGTACACACCGCAGCATGTTTTATTGTGAGCATGTGAAACAGTCGCTTCATAATCAATTTATTGAAGAGGTAAAAAAAAAAATTCTCCTGATGTGGGAGCAAACACGCAACCCTCTAGGTGAGAGTCCTGTGCTTTATGGACTGAGCTAACCAACCACCGTGACATCTGGTTTAAAAATTATGCCTGATATTCTTCAAACATACGTATTCAACGTAGTGATGAGCGTCTACACTGACAGAATTCTGCAAGAATAAGAAGAGCGTGGTGACGAGACACGCTCTATAGTGCTGTTTGTCTGTTTGGGCTACTGTAGAAACATGGCGAAATCCATGTAAGGGGGACCCTCAGTTATGAAAATAGAAATGCCCCATTCTAGGGTAACAAAAACATAACGGTTCATTCTGTAGGCTCTTGATACACCACTGAAAACATAGTTATTGATATAAATATTACACACTGGAACTTTAACCCTTTGAAAATGGGCCGGCCACGGGCGGCCTCGATCTGACCGCGGGAGAATGTTGTTTACATAATAATGTTCAAATCAATCTAAAATAAAAACTACAATAGCTACAGCATTTATTCTTTTTGCAGTGGAAAGATGAGGTTTTTGTCTTTTGCGCCATCATGTTGTCCGCTCGTGATGATATTAAGTTGCTTCTGGTAGAAAATGGAATGAAAACGCTTGGTAAGATTGAGAGAAATACTAAGATTCAGTAGTTTAGTATAGTTAAATATATAGTTAGTTCATGGTTCACACAGAAGGCCTGGGTCTAACATATTTTAGTAGTAGTTGACAGGAACAGCCATGATGACTGCATCAAGCGAACCTACAGCACTTTCACAAAATAAACAGTTTTTGAGACACTGTCTCAAAAACTAAAAAATACACTTCAAATAACTTGTGTGGAGTGTTAAGAACTATTTTGTTCATCTTTCTGTTCTTTTGTGTTTATTTTGTAGAATTTTATGAGAAAACATGCCCGATTGAATTTATTTGAATTTATCAAATAATTTCAATACTTTTATAAATTATTACGGTTTATTGACTTACATAACTTTTTAGCTTAGGTTGTACAGATTTTATGGATATGAAGCATTTGAAGATACTCCAAGAAATGACATCACAATAGCAAAAATACCAG